CAATGGTGTAGCTGCTGTGGGAGGCAGGACAGAGTTCCCCCAAAACATTACACATAGAGTTATCATATGATCTAGCAATTCCACTTATGGGTATAGATCCAAAAGAATTGACAAAGTGATATTTATACACTTGTGTTCACAGGAGCATTATTCACAACAGTCAAAAGGTAGAAATCATCTAAAGGTCTGTGAACAGATGAATGGATAAACCAAATGTGGTGATGTGGTATATACATTCAATGAAATATTATTCAAACTTAAAAATGGGGGGCAGTGCCTGGCTGGCTCAGTCGATAGAGCATGCACCTCTTGATCTCAGGGTTGTGAATTCCAGCCCCACGCTGGGTGTAGAGATTACTTAAAAAAATAAAATCTTTGGATGTCTGGGTGGCTCAGTTGGTTAAGCAGCTGCTTTCGGCTCAGGTCATGATCCCAGGGTCCTGGGATGTAGTCCCACATCAGGCTCCTTGCTCAGTGGGGAGCCTGCTTCTCCCTCTCCTTCTGCCTGCCACTCCCCTGCTTGTGCTCTCTCTCTCTCTCTGACAAATAAATAAATAAAATCTTTAAAAATAAATAAATAAAATCTTAAAATATATATATATATTTAAATTTTACAAACAACAACATAAAAAGGAAGGAAATACTGATACATGCAACAGCATGGATGAAACTTGAGAAAACTGTTAAGTAAAAAAAGCCAGACACAAAAGAACAAATATATGATATTTGTACATTCACTTACATGAGGTACATAGAATAGTCAAGTTCACAGAGAAAAGAAGTAGAACAGTAGAGAAGGGAATGGAGAGTTAATGTTTAATGCTATGGAATTTCAGTGTGGGATGATGGAAAAGTTCTGGAGATGGGCAGTGGGTGATTGTTGCACAATGGGTATGTACTTAATGCCACTGGAATTGTGCACTCAAAAAGGGGTTAAGATGGTAAATTTTATGTTATGCATATTTTAGCACAATTTAAAAAGAAGTCACAGGAGGACTGAGATGGCAAGAGCTTAGTGAGCAAGGGGAGGATGGTAAGGAACATGAAGGAAAGGTAACATGGGCCCCACAGGCCGGAGAAGGCCTTCAGGTTTCTTTCTTTCTTTTTTTTTTAAAGATTTTATTTATTTATTTGAAAGAAAGAGAGACAGAAAAGGAGCATGAGCGCGGCAAAGGGCAGAGGGAGAGGGAGAAGCAGGCTCCCCGCTAAGCAGGGAGCCTGATGTGGGGCTCCATCCCAGGACCCCAGAATTGTGACCTGAACAGAAAACAGATTCTTAACTGACTGAGCCACCCAGGCATCCCCAGGTTTCATTCTAAGACTGATGAGAAGCCACTGGGGAGTTGGGGCAGAGGTGACACAATCTGATTCCCATTTTTTTTTTTTTAAGATTTATTTGTTTATCTACTTGAGAGAGAACACGAGAGCAGGGGGAGGGACCGAGGGAGAGGGAGAAGCAGGCTCCCCGCTGAGCAGGGAGCCCCATGTGGGGCTGGATCCCAGGACCCCGACATCATGACCTGAGCCGAAGGCAGATTCTTAACCAACTGAGCCACCCAGGTGCCCCTGATTCACATTTTTAAAGGCTCACTCTGGCTGCTGTGTGAAGAGGCTCAAGGGGGCAAGAGCAGAACTAGAAAAAGGGCTAGAAGGCCACTGCAGTCGCCCAGGTAATTCCTGAGATTAATTCAGAATCTCTTGAGGGTTTGCAAATGGCATTAATTCATGACATACTCTTCATATTGGCAAACCTTGGGGCCCTGCCCCAGCAGAGACTGAGTGAGTGAGTGAGGGGGAAGGGCGAGCACCCATGCACACATGCACACACATACGCACATGAGCAGGTAAGAATAAGGGGCTCACTGCTTCAGGTTCTAGCAAGGGACTGAATTCCCAGGGCATGATCCTCTCCCCAGGAGCACTTCCACACCAAACCCAGGTCCTCAATTCAAGGCTTTTCTACAAGAAGATAATACCGTGCCCTGCTTATCTCCTCTGAGGCTGGAATGGGAACAAAAATCTCTATCTAGGAATTGCTGAGTCTCTAAATTTCCACCAATGGTGGTGTTTAGCCCACTCTGGGCTCCTAGGTTTGTTACACTAGGAGGACGGTAGAGGGGGAAGTTCCATGTACAGAAAGGTGGAGCTGACCTTGCCCCTAACTCTAGTAGGGGTAGGCAAACTTTTTCTGTAAAAGGCCAAAAATTTTAGGAGGCCACATATGGTCTTTGTCAAACATTCTTCTTTGTGCTGGTTTTGGTTTGGTTTGGTTAGTTGGTTGTTTTCGTTATAAAATATATATAACAGGGGAGCCTGGGTGGCTCAGTCAGTTGAGCCTCTGACTCTTGACTTTGGCTCAGGTCATGATCTCAGGGTCGAGAGACTGAGCCCCGCATCAGGCAAGCATGGAGCCTGCTTGGGATTCTCTCTCTCTCCTTCTCTCTGCCCCTCCCCCTGCACCTTGTGCTCTCTCTCACATATATATATACATACATAAATTTTTTAATTTAAAAAATAAAAAGTAAAATATACATAACAAAATTTACCATTTTAACCATTTTTTAATTTTCTTTTTTTTTTTTTTTGTAGAGAGAGAGGGCTCCAGAGCAGGGGGGTGGGGTCTGCGAGTTGGAGGGAGAGGGGGAAAGAGAATCTTAAGCAGACTCCATGACCAGCGCAGAGCCCTGATGTGGGGCTCAATCTCACAACCCTGAGATCACGACCTGAGCCAAAATCAAGAGTCATATGCTTAACCAACTGTGTCACCCAGGCACCCCACCATTTTAACCATTTTTAAGTGTACAGTTCTGTGGCATTAAGTGCATTCACATTAGTGTGTAACCATCACTGCCATTAGTCACCAGAACTTTTTACATCTTGTAAAACTGAAACTCTGTACCAGTTAAACATTAACTTCTCATTCCACCTCCTCCGTCCAGCCCCTGGCAACCGCCGTTCTATTTTCTATCTCATGAATCTGACTACTCAAGGAACCTCATGTAAGAGGAACCTCACATAAGAAGAAATGGTGGCCAATTGGGTTGCTTCCACCTTTTATTGTGAATAATGCTACTATGAACATGGACGTACAAATATCTATTTGAGTCTCTTTCGATTCTTTTGGGTATATACCCAGAAGTAAAATTCCTGAATCATATAAGTCTATGTTTAATTTTTTGAGGACTCACCACACTGTTTTCCACAGCAGATGCACCACCAACAATGCACAATGGTTCTAATTTCTCCACATCTTTGTCAACACCTGTTACTTTCTGTATTTGGTTGTTTGTTTGTTTGTTTGTTTTTAATAATAGCCATCATAATGGGTATAAAGTGGTATCTCATTGTGGTTTTTGACTTATATTTACCTAATGAATAGGGGCACTGAACATCTTTTCAAGTACTTATTGGCCATTTATAATATCCTCTTAAGGAATTTACTATGTTCTCCCTTATATTATAGTTGTGCCTCCCCTACTAACAGGTAGGAACAGCACCTTTTACCCTTTATAAAGAGGCTTCTCACATATTCCTTATCTCATCTGAGTGAAAACTGGATACTGCCCTGCTTAGACCTTGGTATCTTGTCTAGACAATGGCCTCACCCAACTCCCTTAGTGGCAGCTCATCCACCCACCTCCACCTCTGAGTGATATACACATCAACGGCTCCCAATTACCTTCCTCAGAAGTTCTCGATTTCAGGGGTCCAACACACTGGCGGGATTTGGTGCAAAATGTCCAAAGTAATTTCTCACTATTAATGAAGTACAAATTAAATTTACAAATGTAGAGCACTCTGGGGCGGCTCAGTCATTAAGCGTCTGCTTTCGGCTCAGGTCATGGTCCCAGGGTCCTGGGATCGAGCCCCGCATGGGGCTCCCTGCTCCACGGGAAGCCTGCTTCTCCCTCTCCTACTCCCCCTGCTTGTGTTCCCTCTCTCGCTGTGTCTCTGTCAAATAAATAAAATCTTAAAAAAAAAAAAAATGTAGAGCACTCACAATAGTGCCCAGCACATAGTAAGTACTATATAGGTGTTGGGCATTATTAATATTAAATTTTAAGAGTTATGAGACAGGTGTAGCAGAAGCTTTTGGTGTTCTGTACACATCCATGGCCAACTTCTGATTTCAGCTGCAGTCGCAGGAGACAGTGACGTGCAGGCTGACAGCATCCCTCCTTCAGGACCCTACTGATCTCCTTGCTTTTCTGTCCAGAGCTTCCTCTTCTCACAAGCTCACACAGCTCATGAAGTACAGGGCCATTCGTAGGCATTAGTTTTCATCTGATGAATTATCTGCCTCCCTTTCCTACATTGCTACAACCTCCACCATTATCCAGAAGATAACAGAAATCCTAATTACAGCTTGATCAGTTAGTATTCCACTGCCTGGCACCTTTATCAACACCTTCCCGTGGAACTTCAGGCCCTCTTGCCTTTACTCTTCTGATCCTCCCGCTTTGAGCCCACTAGCACGTTTTCAGAGGGCAACAATGGGCTGGGATGGAAAACAGAGATGGCAGAGTCACAGGTCACATTGTCAAGAAAGGGATGACAAGGGAGTACAGGAGCCTTGAGACAGGTCTTTTTTCCGCCCTACGCTCTAGGCGGAGTTCAGTCAGCCTTCAGGGGGTGACTATGAAGTAACCTCAAGCTAAAAAAGGCAAAAGCGGACTCAGAGGCTGACACTGCGCAGGCGCAGGGAGGGGACTCGGGTTCCCGCTCAGGATCATCCAGATGCCTCTCCTAGGCAAGGGCCAGAGGAAGAGCACAGTACCCCGCGCTAGAAGCCTCCCTTCTGTGCACCCCAATTCTTCGTGAGGCCCTCAGACCACCCAGGAAACGTCTAGGAAACCGCCTCTGAGGCCGTCGGGCCGCCCCCCACTCCCCTCCCTAGGGCCCGGCAGAACCGGGAAAGCGGGTACCAGCGCTGGCGAGGCGCCAAGACACGAAGGGCCAGCAGGCCAGTCGGATTTGGCCCTCCTCACCACCGTTCTCACCTCTTTGTCCGCTGCTTTCTCCTCGATACCTAGCAGCGCGTACAGGTCCATCTGTAAGAGCTCCTTGGTCACCGCCATGGTTCCAACCCTGACTGGATTCGTACTACAACTCCCAAGAGTCTAAGCGTGCGTAGCGATTTCCGGGGACTGTCATCCCAAACGGACTGAATGGCGCTTAGCCCCCTGGGAAATGTGTTCTGGATCAGGCCTGACTGCCTCCGAAGGAAGGGAGCAGTCGTGAATGAACTACGCCTCCCAGCAGCCCCCGCGTCTGCCGCTACCACTCTCCGGCTAGCGTGGACCGCGATTTTCCTGCCAGAGGCCGCAGCAAGCCCGCGCGAAGGGGCGTGGGGCGGGGGCGGGGCTTAGGGAAAGTCCAAGGGTCTCGGGACCTGGCGGTCGCGATCTCTCAGTTTTGTGGAACCTGCGGCGCCTCGCCGGCCACCAGAATGGAGAGTAGGTGCTACGGCTGCGCTGTCAAGTTTACCCTCTTCAAGAAGGAGGCGAGTCTTCTCCCCGCGGGCTAGAGGGCCAGGGAGGACCGGAGTGGAGGAAAAGCACAGGACTTGAAGTCCGTAGACTTGGTTTTATGGCCCCTTTCCAGCTGTGTGGTTTTGATGAAGTCACTGAACCTCAGTTTCCATTTCTGTAAAATTGGGCTAACGCTCCCTCCCTTTCGGGGTTGACATGAGGGTTCAGAGAGGTGCTGGAGGTGAAAGTGCCCTATAAACTGTAGAGCACGCTCCTGTCCTTTCTAGAAAGGTAGGTTTTTCTCTCCACCAAGTATAAGATGCAGCTGTTTCGTTCCCTCCACTCTGCTCCTCCGCAGCCCAGTCTTAGTTACTATCCTGTGACCACTCTCCATCACTCTATGCCGGTTACTCCCTTTGCTCTGAAACCTTCACCGTCATGCAGTCTGCCTTTCCCAGGTTTCTTGAGTTAGATTACTGCCCTTCCTCCTGCTCCCGGGGCACCATGGCAAGGCCTCTTTTGTCCTCTGCACAGGCCCCTAAGTTCTCCTGGTAAACTATAGGTTTCCTCTGCTCAATTGTGACCAGGAGATAGGAACCAGATTGGATGAATGAATAGCAGTAGGGATGCAGATCCCTGTAGCACTTAGAAACCTGGGTTTTGGAATCAGGGTGGTCAGGGTTCAAATTTGAGCTCTGCTGTCTTATTCATGGAAACACCTTGGTTTGGGCAAGTCATGTAACCTCTCTGACCGCATCTAAGATAGTAATAATAATTAATGGTGGTCATCAGGATTAAGTAAAGTAGTGTGTATAAATTTTGAGGATTATATCAGATGATGATTGTTAAGTACTGAATTTAGTGCCTGGCACACAGTAAGTGCTTAATAAATGGAGGCCATTGTTATCCCATACTGAAGCCAAGCCACCCTCCATCTCTGCTAAGGCAGAGAAGGCAGGGGCTCTGCACTCTCTGATACTCCTTTGTTAAGAGTCAGTGACTTGCAGCATGAAGTTGTGCCTGTTTGTTTTCTACACCCCAGCATTGGGGAATTGAAGACAGGGTAGAAAGCATGGGAATTTTGCATAAAGCTTTACTTGATTTGAATAAAAGACCCTCCATCCCTGTCTCTCCCCAGGCCTTAGGGGCCCCACTCCTCATCCTCCTCCCAGCAGCTGGTCACAACTTCAGTGTCTTCCCTCTCTGTGTGCTTGGAGAGTCCCAGGGAGGAGCGTGCAGGGTTGGGTGAGAGATGGAACCTCCTACTTCATGTTTCTTGTAGTATGGCTGTAAGAATTGTGGCCGGGCCTTCTGTTCTGGCTGCCTTAGCTTCAGTGCAGTGGTGCCCCGGACTGGGAATACCCAACAGAAAGTCTGCAAGCAGTGCCACGAGGTCCTGACCAGGTGAGTTGACATGGTCAAGGGTTTAGCCAAGCATGGTACCAGTCGGCTGGCCAGCCCACACAGCTTTGTGCTCTGTGGCGAGAGATCAGCTCAGGAAGTGTTTGGGGTGGGAGGTACTGACTGGCAGATGGCGGGACTTCTGATACCAGGTATCTTCTCTATAGAGGATCTTCTCCTGCCAATGCCTCCAAGTGGTCACCACCTCAGAACTACAAGAAGTAAGTGCTGAACAGACAGAGACAAATAGGGATGGGGAAAAGACAAAGGAGCCATAGGGTAGGACTCTCTTCCCAGCCTCTAGATCAGATGAGCACAGGGTCCAGAGAAAATCATCTCTCAGCCTCCTGACTGCCCTCTTGGGCTCAGACAGTAGCTCATCAGCCCTCTCTCCAGAAACATTTCTTGGTAGACCTTGTCCTCTCAGCCAGACCCTTCGATTGGTCAGCTGGATTGGGCTGCAGGGTGACATGAATGAGGACCACAGAATATTGTCCATTGGAGGCTGCCCTGGAGGCCTAGAAGTGATTTGAATGGGAAACGGCAAGTGGGTGCCTTCACCCCTCCCTTCTGCATTCTTCAAGAGCCTAATCTCATACCCTCCCAGGCGTGTGGCTGCCTTGGAAGCCAAGCAGAAGCCCAGCACTGTCCAGAGCCAGGGACTGATCCAACAAGACCAAGTCATTGCTGAGCGCCTAGCGCGGCTCCGCCAGCAGAACAAGCCCAGTGAGTGGGGGCAGACTGGGTGACCTAAAAGATACCATCCACGCCTCCTGGGACTAGGATTCCTCGGGATCTTACAGGGCTTCTCCATACCCATTTCAGAGTCAGTGGCCTCGCAGGCGGAGATAGAAGCCAGGCTAGCTGCACTGAGGGATGAACCCCGGGGTTCCATCCCTTCCACCCAGGAGATGGAGGCACGGCTTGCTGCACTGCAGGGCAGAGTTCCGCCTTCCCAGACCCCCCAACCTGTGAGTACTTGGGGGGACAGGGGTCCTAGGATAAGGACCTTGCAGAAGCCCAGATACATGTATACTTACGTACTTTGTAGGAATTGGCAAAACCTCCCATCCTCACCTCTTGCTCCTCAGGCCTGCTGCGAGGCCAAGGAACCAGGGACAAGCAGTAGGATGGGGTGGGGCAGGAAAGAATGGCCAGATCTATATGGGCCCTGGATTAGTCTCCTTTCCCTGAGCTTTGGAAACTCTTCAGCATCCACCCCTAACCTAGACTATTCTGCACCTTACAGTGTTGCCTTCCCCCCTCCCCTGGCTCCCCACTGAAGTTCCCTCCTCTCAGCAGGCACATCAGCCACCAGACACCAGGACCCAAGCCCAACAGGCACAGGATCTGCTGACACAGCTGGCAGCGAAGGTGGCTATTGATGAGAGCTGGCAACGAGGAGGCCCAGGTAACTTCTCCACCTGGGTCCCCCAGGGACCTGCCCCCCACTCCTTCCCCAAGTAGGATGGGCTCTGCTGCCCACCCTCTGGGACACAAATATAAATCAGACCAATCAACATTGTAAACTACAGTTTAGTCCAACAGGAGTCAGTGTAAGCCTCGTGGATAAGTGTGTGGGCTTTAGAATCAGTGATTTCTTATTCTACCACTTAAACTAGCTCTGTGACTCTGAGAAAGTTTCATGACCTAAGTCTCCCTATCCTCAGCTATAAAATGGAGGTGTATGTGGTAAAACCCACCTCACGGGGAAATCACGAGAAGTAAGTGAGATAATCTAATAAGCACTTAAGGCCCTGCCTGGCTTATAGTAAGTGTTCAGCGAATGTTCTCTGCAATGATGCTAATGATAAGGATGAGGAAGAGGCTATTTGAATTTAATTAAAATTCAATGAGGGGCACCTGGGTGGCTCAGTCGTCAGTCTGCCTTCCGCTCAGGTCATGATCCCAGAATCCTGGAATTGAGCCCCGCATCGGGCTTCCTGCTCGGC